GGATTGATCTTAAGGTCGAGATAGCCACCCATAATAAATTATGAGAAAATCATGACGGGCTCTTAGTGTATCCTTTATTATAGCTCGCTGGATATAAAAAAACTGGAAGTTATCACCAGTTGTTAGCTTTTTTGTGCATAAAATCATCTGTCGAATGAGTGAAAAAAATGGACTCAAATCTTCGATTCGTTCTAGAAACTGATTATCTCATTCACTCAGACCAAAAAAATCGAATGTTGCGCAGTTGTCTTTCTAATATGTTTCAATACCTTCATAATGATATATGGTATGCCTACATCTTTTTGCTAATAACGGAGAAAGGGATCTGCTCAAACGCCCATGGGAGACGTTTGATTGCGTAGAGATTGTGCAATTTTTAGAGACAGTAGAGAACGGCCAGAGCGGGCGAGGCATTCAGTTTTGGTGGGTTGCCTCGGCTCACGAAACTGCGAACATTTATGTGTCATCCTGCTCAAAATCGTATGGAGAATCAGCAGACAACTGCGCAACTTTCATAATGTTTGTCGTAACGAGTTTCACTGTTCAACTTGATTTTCACTGCTGTAAAATCTAAACTATAAAAACTGTAGACACATCAACTACTTTGGAAGGAGTAGTTATATGGCGGATTCAGCACTCTCTTTACACGTTGTGGCCTTTTTCAAATACTTTCATCTTCCTTTCCTTATTAGGAGACTGATGAGGAGTTCCAGCGCGGAATGAAAACTACTCCTTTCCATTTCTCAATGGAAAAACCTCATTGGAAAATCTTCTCATTAGTCTCCTATCAAAGTTCTTGTATACTGTGGTTTTAATCGTATTTCGTTATCAATAAGGCAAAAGCTATATCTCCATTTCTTATCTTTTCAGTCTCCAACAGGCAAAAGCTATATCTCCCTTTCTTATCTCTTCATTCTCCAACTTCTGGTCTGCCGAAAGGTGTTCGGGGCTGAGCCTCACATACTGAGTTACGCAGATTCTCTTAAGTGAGAGTTCTGTCCTTTCTTCGCTCATTAGTTAAGTTGACAAAGCCATGACTC